GGCAGGCAGGGCAGAGCCACCAAGAGAAAAGGAGACTTCTCTCAGATAGAATGAGGTCTCTGGCCATGTTCAAGCTTATCCAAGGGGTGCAGGCCTTTTTGCCCTTTATCCATGTCCCCAAGTCCTTGTCTGTTGCCTATACCAGCCAATGTCTGTCTTAGGTTGTCTCTCTTCATGAGATAACTTACTCGTCATCAACAACTGATCATCACAGGGCCAAGCAGGGTGATATGAGGGAGGCAGGAGCTGCATCCCTGCCAGGGGGGCAGGTTTCATCTCCTTAGTGGCCTGTTTTCCCAAGGCCTCCTTGATTAGCTCCAGCCTCGGGGCCCTCTGGCCTGCTGGTAAGGCTACAGTCCCTGAAACCAGAGGGGACATTTCCCAACAAGTGGGCCAGTTCCAAACAATAGAAGTGATGTGTGTCTCTTCCAAATTATGTGTGCTCTTTCCATAGCATCTTCATCTTCAGCAGGAACCCTGGGATCATCTGCTGAAGATCACTACACTCTATGATGGAGGGAGCCAGAATCCCTAAGTCAATACTCACAGGAGAGTTGCTTAATCAAGAAAAAAAATCTCTATTGAATGTTGTGTGAGAGAGAATAAAATTTTATCTTATAACACTGGGTTTTAGGATATTTTCTAGAGCAGTTCATCTACTCTGACCAAATGGCAAACACCAAACAGGTACAAATGTACATTTTCTCAGGATCCAGGATCATCTGGGAAAATGGAAAAGAAGCACAAGGAAGAAAAAGGTACAGACAAAGAAGTAGAAAAACCTGGGAGGGGAGCAGTGAGTTCCTACAAAATACTTGCTCTTAGAACAATCAATTCATTGGTCTGAAGCAATGTAGACTAAGATGAATGGCTTGGCTACCCATGCAATTATCATTTTTCTCTAAAAATACAGTCAGAAAAATTACCAATAACCTTTGTTATGTTGAAAAAGAAGCAAACTGGGAGTGCTAAGCTGGCTACACAGCATTTTCAATATATTATTATATTTTATCTGGGAGATAACCTAGTGAAAAGGATTGTGCTGAGGAAACCTAGAGAAATGTTCAAGAAGAAAGTATAAGGAAGGGAAACACTGAAAAACCCCCTGAAAATTCAAAGAGAAAGAGTCAGAGAAGTTAGAAAGTGGTTTCAAAAAGGATTTTAAGTTTATGGATTTCAGGGTAATTTTTTAAGAGCTAGAAATTAGAGATGGTAGAGAAAATGTTTTGGAGACTTAAGATATATTTGTTCAACAAATTTACTGAGCAACTCCTATGAGCTTCAGTTTTCTTAAATAGAGAGTAAAAAAAAATTGTGATACATAGTATCAGATCCCACTAGTCCTCAGACTGGCCACTGTTTTTCTTTGACTCAAAAAAAAAAAAAAAAAAAAAAAAGAATCAAGGCCAGTGCAGAACAAGAGCTGTTTCCTTCCCACTACACCTCCATCTTCTATCTTAGCAACCTGAAAAGGACAAATTGGCTGAAGAAAGAGAAAATGCTGAGACTTCAAACAGACCATGACAAAAATAGAGCTAAATAATTATTCCTAAGAAAATAAAATTACTTATCACCACACACTGAATAGCTTCCTGATTGTCCCCTTTAAGTCTGTAATAGCACTGGTCGCAGAATGCACAATTTCTGACAATAGACAATACGACTGAAAAAATTAATCTCCTATGTGCAAAATAACACTTTCACCACAATGGGCAATTCGTGCCTGCTCTCTCTGGACCTTTGCTGAACAGAATACCAGTGCAGGCTAATTACATGAGCTAGCTGAAAATTGTGCGTATGTTGGAAAGCCATCCCCCTAAAGAATAGCTGAGAAAAGGTCTTAGCACCAAATACAAAACAACAGGAAAAAACAGAGAGAGCAAACATGAGAGCATATGCAGAGGCATTCTGATTAGCATGCTGCAGTTAACCATTTTTGTGGATGCGCATAAAAGAGTTGTAAAATTCTCTGCTGTAGAAAAGAACAGTTTCAACACAACTTACTTGTAAGTTCACCCACACCCACTTGGACACGTACTTTCACAGGGACTGGGAGAGCAGCGGGCAGCGGCAGCTCGTCCCGGGCTCACCCCTGATCCTGTCTCCTGAGACCCACATCCTAGCCTCTTTTTCTCTACCTAAATAAAACTTGCTTTGGCTCTCACAGAATAAAAAAAAAAAGAAAGGAAAGAGAGAAAGACAGAATGAAAGAAAAAAAGGAAGAAAGGAAGAAAGGAAGGAGTAGAAAAGAAAAAGAACACCTTCCAGGATGAAAGAGACTTCCCCCATGCTGACTCAAATGCTTTGCTCCAATGCACAGATATGGATCAGCCTTAGGCTGAGGACTTTTGGCACTTTGGGGTGCAAAAATAGTTCATGTCAGAAATATAGATAAGAGTCAAAGGCAGCCCTGGCTGGGTGGCCCGGTTGGAGCATTGTCCCATACACCAAAGGGTTTTGGGTTTGATCCCTGGTCAAGGTGTATACATGCCAGGGTTGCAAGTTCAGGTCCGTGGTTGGGGCTCATATACATGACAACTGATCAATCTCTCTCTCCCTCTCTCTCCCCTTCCCCACCCTCCTCTCTTGCTAAGCATATCCTCTGGTGAAGATTTAAAAAGAAAAAGAAAAGGATTCAAAGGCAACTTTCACACACTGATTCATATGTTTGCAAGGAGTACGACAGGCTTGTCACAGGCGATGGTAGAGTGGTAGAGCAAGGGCCAGTTGTTGGAAGTTCTACTCTTCATGCAGCATGATGCCATATATCCTCAAGAAGTTTAGAGTTTGAGTTTTTCAGAAAAAATTTCAGAAAGAGCCTAACAAATAACAAACAAATGGCTCCACATGATCAAAACAAATTTGTAGTGTCCTCTGTAATGCTTGAGTTATGTTAAGTCCACAACCAGATTCACTGAATTTATTGTTCAAGAAGAGAAGCACTAGCTAATTAATGTTCATTCTAGAAAATCTATAGTAAGCAAGGGTTCTGGCAAGAATGATGGCACAAATTGTGTCATTTAAGGGACTTTTCTTAAAGCCTTGGGCCAAATGTAGGGAAATCCAAGTAAAAAATTAGGGAATTATTTACAGTTTATTCCTAAACTGAACATTCTAAGGGAGGGGAGGGGAGGGGAGCGGAGAGAAGGGGAGGGGAAATGAGAACTCCTAACAAAAGTCATGGCCTTCATTCAGGATGCAACACTATCCTTCAGTCAAGGATATAACCGACTGGAGCAATACCAGAATAGGAAAGCTTCTCTTTCTTCTTTCATTTTTCTGATCAATTTCTAGTGTTACTCTCTGGGTCAAATCCAAAGAAAACCAGATGACAAAGGAGCCTATAGATAAAGTCCTTGTAGGTTGGTCTCCCAGAGCAAAGAATAACCCAGACTAAACTATAGTGAAGAGAGAAAAGTGGATCATGTGTGGCAAAATGGAAGGTCATCAGCACTGTTGATTTCTTCAGAAAACTTAGGGCCCATCAGTTGGGATTTAAGGAAAACAAACGTTTTAGTAGAGCTATCCTTTTGTAATAAACTGAGCTAACACACATGATTATCAAACCAGATTAATTCAAATCAGAGATCTCACCCAATATCAGGATTTCCCCATAATTTTAAGGATCCAGTCAGTCAAGAGCCTCAGTCAGACAAAGCAAAAAGTTGCCTTGGGCAGTAAGGGTGGCCTCCCTGGCCTGGCCCAGGACGGACATTGTGGCCCAGGATAGCAGCTGAGGTCTCACAGTGAGATCTGGGAGGTTCTTTGTACAGAAGGAGCCTTTAAACCATGAAACACTTCCTTTTATACTCAGAGACTTGGGTGGCTTGGGTGCCACTCTCTAGGGAGATGTGCCCCCTAAATCCCGGGTTCCGTTTGGTAGGTAATACTTTAGCCAGGGAACTGCCTGCTAGGGGCTTTCAACAGATAAAATCTCTTTCTCCTAACAAATGTCATTAGTCTATAACACAAAGGTATAGTTAAAAAGAAATTAGACAACGTTGCCTACCTTGGTTTCTCCCCCCATCCCCCGCACACACACAACCTCCCACACCCCCATGGAAGTGAATGAATGGATTGTAGGCATCTTTTTTAACTCTCCTCCCACAAACACTGTATAAAAGGATGAAGTGTGGGGTGGGGGTGAGAGAGAGAAGAAAAAGGAGGAGAGAGAGAAGGAAAGAGAGAGAGGCAGGGAGAGATTTTGGGGAAGAGAAAGAGTAAATATTAAGATACAGATTAGGGAAATTGACTGGTGTCTCTTGCATGAGATTGGCATGAGGAAATCTGCTATACCTCTCATCTTGAATAATCCTCCAACTTTATCAGGCAAGCCCATGGCAAAATGCACTCTGATTAGGTTTTCTGAGGGAGACCACATGCCCCCACCCCACAGGCTCCTCCCGGCCAGCACTGTCAGGCCCTGCTCTGCCCAGATACGGGCGAGGCAATGCCTCTGCCCTCTGACTCTTAGGCTACCAGGGCCTCCTCAGTGTGTGAGGCTTTAGAGCTTTTAGATCTCTTTCCCCCAATTTGGAGAAGATAGTGTCGTGAACCCTCTAAAATACAGGATTGTAGGAAAGTGTGGAGAAGTTGGGAGTGAGCCGCAGCTGGGACTTGGGGTAAATCTGTTAACCTTCTGGGATTGTAAGCAATTTAGTACAAGGGCACGTGTTTCTAAAATCAGACCCAGAATGTTTACAGGATTCTCAAAGCCTGTAGGCCTGTAGATGTTTAGCCAGTGACACTACACAGAGATTTTTTGTGATGTGGACCCAGGGAGAGACCAGCAGTGTCCCCGCTGCCAGGGCCTGATCCTGGGCTGCACTGTTCAGCTGCTCCTCCATCCTCCACACCCCCGGCAGCATATCCAAGCACAAGGTGAAGCCTGAGCAGGGACACCATCCTATGTTCCAGATAATTTCCAAGATGTTATAAAACATTTTGAATATAAAAAAAATTAAGTTTAAATTAAATCACAGGTGAAGAGTAGAACTTACCTTTTCTTTTTGTTAGATAATGTCTCGAAGCCATTTTGCAGATTTGTGCATCTCTCTGTCAAGTGGACTGGCCTCTCGCTCGGATACGTGCTGTTTCATGAAAGAGATTTTAAAGAAAGATTGACTGAAAATGAGAGCTTATAAGATGTTGTTAACAAAAATCAGATTTAATTGCTAAAGTATGCCCAAATAAAGTCTGGCTTTTATTTCATTATTAGATTTCTGCGTGGAAAAGGACATTGATATTTTCACTTCTAACAGGTCTCACTTTATTTTTCTAAAGAAAGCTCACACTATAGAGTCAAAAAGAAAAGAACTCCCTGTGGAAGACTTTATATTTTCATATTTTGAGGTTATTAAGCACAATGAATGAGTTATTGAATAGTTTTAATCATTGTGTGTGTAAGCAGATTTATTTTTAAAAGATGTTGTCTTTGGTAGGAAACATGCAGACACAGGAGATCAATAGTTCTTTCCAAAAGAACACATGGCAAATCTGGCCTTTGATTATTATAGTAACTGTGATACAGGGCCTGTTGCTATTGCTTTATGAACTTGAAAAATTGGAGTTGGAATAAAACCAAATCAAAAAGCAAGGGGTTATGGAGTCGGGCTGCCTAAGGAGCCTCCTGGATGTATGCAAGCTAGTTGGCCACTCCAGGCGTCAGTTTCCGCCCCCTTCATCCTTCCCTCCCAGTGCTATTGTCAGGATATATACAGTGACACAGAAAGCATGGAGACTTGGTACCACACCTGATACAGTAAATGCTCAAAAAAGTATTACATATCACTTCCCTTAGATTTCAAAATTGTGCATTCAACTCTGACTACTGTTAATACATTTATTTAACCATCCTGAGGGTATTTGCTGAAGACAACCAAATAAGGGCCGGGGGCCAGGCACAAAACAGACATGTGTCCTTTCCCTAGTGGAGCTTGCAGTCTGGTCCGGGAGAAAGACATATCAAACCAAAAACCACACAAGGAAATATAGCATAGAATTTTGAACTGTGGTTAGGATCACTGAAACAGCAGTGGGTGTCTTGGAGGAGTGTAATGCGGAGACCCCTGCATCCGGAGGGACCTCTGAGCTGGTGTTATTTAAGTTGTGATCTCAAGGATAATCCGAATGAGCTAGACGGACTTTGAGAAGTTGACGGGTGGAGGGGGCAGGTGGGGGGTATTCCAGGCAGAGGGAAAAGTGTGTATAAAGGCCACAGAATAGGAAGTAACCCAGAAGGTTTGAGGAACTGAAGGAAGGGAGGTGGGGCTCAGAGCTAAAGACCAACAGGTGTTTGGGATAGTGAGTAGGGGCCAGAGTACACAGGCCCGATAAACCATGTTGTGCATTTATCTAAATAAGGATGAGAAGCAACAGACGGTTTGGGGCAGGGGAGTGATGTGACCTGATGCATGTTTTAAGAGGTTCACTGTGCAGAAAAATTAAATGAGGGGAAGTAGGACTGCAGGAAGAGTGGTGAAGTTAGGAGACTTCTGCAAGGTTTTAAGAGACACATGATGGCAACTCAGATATGATGTCATAAAACACAACACCCAACTCACAGTTGTTTTACGTAACACAGTTGTGTTACTTCTTGGTATTTGCTCAAGAAATGCCCACTGTATGACTGCGTGGCTCTCAAGGGCAGCCGTGCTTCACGCAGTTGAGGGATTTGGAGTGGTCTTGGGGCGGTTCATGCCAGCAGCCTGCTTCCCTAACCGCAGCGGCAGAAGAAGAGTGTGCCGCACGCGCAGTCTCACCCTGTATCTGAAAGTTCTAGCTCAGCCAGAGCACTCAGGTGCCGCACCTGCCTGCAGAGTGGGAGTCAGGAAAGAGCACCCATCCTGAGTGCCCAGAAAGAGGGGAGCCTGGGACACGGATATGGACGACGGCACCACGCTGTCCCTCAGCCAGAAGGGAAGTTTAGGGATTTCAGTTCCATTCTGGAGATAAGTCTGACAGGACTTCAAAATAAATTGGATATGGGAGGTGAGGGAACAGGCAGTGTACAGGTAGGGATTTAAACGAGAAAGATTCATAATTAATTCTCCAATATTTCTCAGAAATGCCTTCTAAAAACACTGTGCACAGAGTATATGTGGGCTCATAAAAATCCCTCTTTATCCTGATATAATTTTTCTCCCTTTCTCTCACTGCCTTCCTCCTTTGCCCTCCTCCTGTCTACATGCCTCACCTTCTGTGCTTCCAAAATGTATTATCGTACTTTCCAAGGATTTGTTTATTTCTAATTGGCTGTGTATTTTATTCAGGCAGCACCATTAATGAAGTGAATTACCAAGCCAGCAGTGCTTTGAATTATGATGGCTCTGCAATATTGAATTGTAAAACTGTGATGAGCAGGCACCCATAGGATTTAATGCCATATAGCTTTCTTTAAATTGGAGAGTATATTCATTAATAAAAAGTCAAAACAGTCTTTCCCAACTAAATCACAGAAAACTTACGGAAGGCAAAGGAGAGTGTCTGGGGTACCATGGCAATGAAAGAACAAAGTCCTAGAAAAACAGGGTCTAAGGTATCTGTAGGACCAGCCTTTGAATCTGGGCTCCACTCTCTGACAGTGGTCTTGGAACCTAACGGTTTCCTTTTTAAAATCTCTACTCAGTAAAGTAGTTACAGGGATGCTACAGATTGAATATTTGTGTCCCCCTAAATTCATTTGTTGAAATTCTCCAAAGTGATGGTATTAGGAGGCGGGGCCTCTGGGAGGTGATAAGATCCTGAAGCGGGAGCCCTCACAAATGTAAAGTCGGCCTGAGACAGTCCTTGGCCGCCTTCGGCCTGGGCGGTTGCAGTGAAAGAAGGCCGCCTGTTTTAACACTCGAAAGCAGTTATAGGTGGGAAACTGTAACCCACCCCACCATTATCTTTACACTGTTTCTGTGAGTGCTGATTCTAATATGTAGCTTGTAGATAAACAGCATGTTTGTATACGAATCTTAGGAATTAATTTCAAAAGACAGAGACTCCAGCCTTCAGGCATTCCAGTTCCGGGAGATTGGTTGACTTTCAACCATGGAGTCAGGATGATGTGAAGTCAGGATGACATGAATCCATGATGATTAAAACATCGGACCATCACCTGCCTTACTGGAATGGACTGCGCTCGCCTGCACATGGAGAACTTTTCAACCCCTTTCCTTGATCTCTTTGTGCTGTTCGCCACTCCCTTCTTACAAAAACCTCTCCCTCCACTGAGATGGGGACATGGGCTTTGAGACAAGAGTCCTCCATCTTTCAGGTCGCCAGCACCTGCACATAAACTACTTTTCTTTACATCAGTGCTGCCTCTCGAGGGCTGGCTTTGGTAGCAGTAGGCAGTCAGACCTGCTTTCACTTACAATTTTTAGCGACTCCAGGTGGGACAGCATGGACTCTAGTAAGGCCCAGGGGCCCAGCCTGGAGTCCCAGCTGTTGCGGCAGGCTGACCCCATGGCAGGGACTGCAGCAAGTTTTCAGCAGCTGTCGCGAGGTCTTTGTCTCAGGGACTCTTTCTGCTCTCCCTTTCAAGGCACCAGCCGCCTTTAAACACTTTGCTGGTGAAAGACAATGAGTTGTGGGTGGGCTGACGAGCCCAGACTGGGTAAGACTCTGGTGTGCACAACCGGGAGCCCTTGCCCAGCCACTAGGGTTCTTTGAAACACCTGGGATTCTATAAGAATCAATAGGCATCACTTAGCAGTAGGTATGACACAGTGACAAGAAAAAAAATCCCAGTGCCCCAGAGTGGGATTTGTTTGAGGCACTCTTTTGGTTTAGATTCGGGTATTGTTTGCTTTTCTCATTGCATACAGCTTTTTAATTGTTCGTTGGTTTTGTTTCTTTGTTCCTCTGCAGGAGGAACACTGCTTCTGTTTGAGAGCTCTCCTCTGTTTCTCTTGGTCTGTCTGTCTTAGTAACAGTTATTCTTTCCTGTCTTATCTTTTGGGGACTTGGGTGATCTTTGCTATTTTGTATATACCGGGAATCTTCTGTCACCACCGTTTGGGCTGTGCCATTTGGACCTTGTAAAGGTCATTTGCTGTGCTGGTTGCTATAAGACAATGACTCTGCCATTTGGGCTTTTGTGCCATTTGGACCTTGTCAGGGTCATTTACAGTAGCAGCTGGTGTGAGATAAGAGTCTAAGGCTAGCCTCAGCCCCTCCTTTTAGAGAAGCTAGTTTAAGAGTACTTGCTTGGACTTTGTCTTTGCTTTAGATTTTGATTTTGCTTCTGTTTTGAATGGAGTGGCTCAGTCCCTGTTCCATCAGAGAGTCTATTAGATTGCATTTTAGACTAATTAGAACTGTTTTGCTAAAGGTTTGGTAAATAAGATAAGGTCTCTAATGTGCAAGCTTTCAAGTTGTTACATCATGAGCATGCTACTCCAAAAGGATTAAAATTAATGGTTTAAAGAGGGGAAAAGGACTTCTCATCAAGATGGCAGCATAGGTAAACACAGCTCACCCCTTCACACAACAACATCAAAATTACAACTAAAATATAGGACAACCATCCATCAAAACCATCAGAAATCGAGTTGAATGGAAGTCTGACAACTACCGAATTAAAGAAACTACATTCATCCAGACTGGTAAGAGGGGCAAAGATATAGGACAGGCTGGTTTCACATCCTCGTGTGGTGGAGGAAAATTCAGGAGGGATATCTCAGGAGTGAGGAGTCCCAGCCACATATCAGGCCCCCCAGCCCAGGGTTCCAGTGCCAGGAAGGTAAGTCCCCATAACTTTTGTCTGCAAAAATCAGCAGGTATTGAGTTGGTGGAAGAAACTTCCGCAGCCCCAAGCAGTTCCCTTTAAAGAACCCACACACAGACTTCCTCACACTCACTCCCTCTGAGCAGGAGGGGAGCAGCTTGAAAGGCACCAGTGGCGCACAGGGAGGAAGTGAAGTGTCTGGCATCCAGGAGAGAACTGAGGGGACACTTTTCTTTCAGGCAGAAAGGTGGGGCAGAAGCCACTGTCCTTTTCTAAGCCTTCCCCCTACAGGTCCACAGAGCTGGCAGGCTGGAGTCATATCTGAGACTCCATCAACCTGGCTGACATGGTCTGACCTGCCCTGGAGATTCC